TGAGGTGAGATTTGTAAGTAATTCAGTCCTCTTTGAGTTTTGTGATTCTTGCCTTATTAAAGGATTTTCTAGCCATCTTCCTGAGGTGATCCAACTCGTGATACCACCATGCATCTGATCGTGTTGAACCAGCCTCAGGAGACAGGATTTTTTATAGGCATTGTTTATTGTGCTTTGGATAGTGTTTGAGTACTTTTCTCTAAAGCATTGTTAATGTTTGGTGTTTCGACATCCATCTTTCTCAGAGCCTCTTGGAGAAGGTGAGTAAAGATTGCTCTGTTCGTCTTCCTAGGGTTCCGAAATAGCGTGGAGGTCGGCAACATCAAGTTTATTTTGAATGTTAACCAGCGGTGGTCTGACATCGAAATATTATCAGACACTTGCCAGTTTAGAATTGAGATTTAATATGCTATTACTTGCTTAAATAATTATGTCTAGCCCACAAATAGTTAGTCCGATTCCTCCGGTAGTTATTTAAAATGTTTGGTATTTTTATTCAGTGATACGACTCTATCTAACAAACATTATCGTGAAATTCTCGAAGTCGTCCGACGGAGGTCTGACGTTTATCCCCTCTCTACCTACCAAAATCCTTTCCAACTTCTGTCCCTGCTAGAATAGCTTTGCCGTAAGCAATAAAAAATATTTTATCATTGATAAAAAGTGTTTTAGTCAACTGTCACGAGTGACTTTAAATCATCAAGTGTGCGTGACAAAGTTACCCTCTACTTGCGGGTGGCTTTACACATCTTTTGTTTTAATTAGAATATTTGGGAATCATTTGCATATCAATTCTTAAAATATAACTAAAGACTTAAATTATGGCGAAAATACAAATTTTAATATACTTTTATTTAACAATTAAAACTAAGGTTAAACTTTGAAAGTAAGTCAAAGTCACCCGACTTCACTGTATGTGGTTTATGCACGATAGAGCGTTACCAAATTTTCCATTAAATGTTCAAAACCACTTGAATCTCAACAGGACCAACACAAATGAATAGACAGAGGTAATGACGCACCTTTAAATTGGCCATCACGTTCTCCAGACTTGACTCCAATTGACTATGTTTATGGAGACAGGGTTTAAAAGACAGCTGTAGATAATAAAGAACAACTGTGGTAACGAATTCAAGATGCAACAAATAAACTTCGAGGTGACGAAAGAGTAATGCAAAGAGTAAATTTAAATTTTCCTAGTCGTATAAATCTTTGTATGTATGAAATTTCAAGAACACTGAACAATTTTTATGAAATATTCGTTATTTATATTCAAGTTTTAGTTTGTGATACACTCCAATTTATTAAAATCCAAATTTCCCCAAAACCATGACAGTAATCGAGTTTTATTAAGAGTACCATTTTTATAGTAAATGAGTTAGACAATCTAAATTTAAAACTTAAACTCCCTTTTTTCAATTGGCTTAGATATTTTAAATGTAATATTTGAAAAATCCAATTCTACGCCTATGGATTAATATTAGTTTTAATTTTAATACATTTTTTTCGACACAAAAATCTATCAGCGTACTCTTATTTTCAACCAGTCCGATTCTGCTTTAATTTCTTAAATCCCTCTCTGTCTTAATTGGACCTCGCACAGCCTCCAGTTTTCCAAATACCAAGAATGATGAAGAGCGTCACTTTCAAAACCTTTCTTGATTCGCCAATGTCGGTCAAGGTAGCAGTCGAGTTTCCTCTAATAATTTCTAGAAATTACTGAAATAAGTGCCGATACACGGTCTGATCAGATGGAGAGTGCCTAGAATTTCCAGGTCCAGAACTGGAGCGAGTATATAATAAAAGAATATTATTGTCTTAACATACATTGTCAAATTTACAAAATATTTTAGTGTAAATAGTGAGTATAAATTAAATAAATTGTTACAGTACCAAATTTAAGCAAAATCGCATAAGTTTTTTTAAATTTATAATGGATAAACTGTTGGATTCTAATTAAAAGTATTATTTCTGAAGTAGCGCTGGTAAACAGTAATAACGCCTACATATACCACACATTAATAAAAATTTAAATCAAATCATTAACTGAGACTGGGAAATTAGGTAGATACAATTAAAGCCGTAAAAATATCTAGCGCCCAAACTAAGCAATTTTGTACTGAGGTAATTTTACTCAATTCGGCTTATTTTGGTCTAAGCTCTAAGGAATATGGGTTTACATGTAAATTGGGTTCAGAGCAAAAATTAACGCTCAAAAATAACATGTAAATTCGGTCCTGTAAATTATGTGTTGCATGATAGTGCAAATTCGGTCCCAGCGACGCTCTGGATAAACAAATTAAAACAGACGAAAATAGTGACTGAATGATTTTATAATTTTTTAAATCCACATTGAAAGGATATACATTCGGGACATCTTAATCTGTACAGTCTGTTCGCTATACTTACGCGGGTTTCGGATTAACAAAATTATACAAATTAGTCATTGACAACCAGTTCCAATAAGCCTCTTTCCAAGAAATTAGGTGAAATTGCCCTAATGGTTAGATTTAAATTAAAATAACATTACTAAATTTGTTACAAATATTGCAGTTGAATTGATTCTTTGCAAGTGTTGACATTGTATGTTTATTGTAAATTTAGTGGAAATTTTAAAAATGCCTAGACGTGTGTTAGATGTAGATCGCCAAATTTGTAGTGTACATAAGTATTTTACGGATAAAAAAGAAAATGGCGGTCCTTTAAAATCGGTAATATCTATACAACAACGCGTATGCGATGCTCTAGGAATTAGTGAAACCAAATTAAGAGGAGTATTACAAAACTACAATAGTGAACTGCCGAAAGAAGATCACCGCAAAACTCGCCCATCATTGAAAACGAAAGATATTCCAGATATAAAGAAATTTGAAATGTATGATACCATTTATCGAATGAGGGCCAACAAGGAACATGTGACCTTAAATACAATTCTCTCGGAATTAATAGATAGAAAATTTGACGACATTGGCAGAACAAGTCTATGGCAAGTGATACATAACTTGAGTTTCAAATTTCAAAAGGAAGATAACAGAAAGGCCCTTTGTGAAAGAAGTTCTGTCGTGCACAAGAGAATTAACTTTCTAAGAAATATAAAGAAGATGGGGCAAATTTTATATATTTAGACGAAACATGAATATTTGCTAGGGATGCAACCAAAAGAATATGGCAAGATGATAACGTAAAGTCCATCAAACATACTGATGGAGAAGGGAAGCAACACATAATTTTACATGCAGGAGGGAAATCGGGTTTTATAGAAGGTGCTGATTGAATATTTTCATCTAAATCAAAATCCAGTGATTATCACGATAAAATGAACACAGAAATGTAAAATGGTTGCATGAAAAACTTCTCCCAGGTTTAAGTGAGCCCAGCGTAATTATTTTAGACAATGCACCTTACCATTCTGAAGTATTAAACAAAAGTCCAACGAATTCTTGGACTGTTGATAAAATTAAAGAATGGTTGACAAAGGAACATATATCATTTCCTCAATATATATTAAAATCAGAATTATTACGCTTGGCAAATATACACGCAAAACCAAAAACCTTTGTTGTGGATCAGATTATTGAAAGTTACGGTCATCAAGTTTTACGTCTGCCACCGTATCATTGCCAGTTTAATCCCATCGAATATATATGGGAAATAGCAGAACAATATTATGACAATCATATTGGGCCTAATGGTTATAGTGACGACGCAGTTCGGGAAACTTGGCGAAAAGCACTTTCAATTGCAACTCCAGAAGTGTGGCGGAACTGTATATCCAAGTGCGAGAAACTAATAGAAGATTGGTGGACTCGTGAAAATAAAATAAACGAAATAAGTCCAATCATAATAACAATTAATGGTGATGACAGTGATGTTGATGACGATTATGATATTTTGGATGATAATGACTTATTTTCATTTTTGTTGGCAAGTTCAATTTTTTTTATTTTTCAATTGAAATTCTCTACATGAAACAAATTTTTATGTTAGAAAATATTTTATTTGAGCTAAATAACCCTCTTAATATACATAGACCATATTTTCTGTGTGAAGTGTAATATAAAATTATTATTAGGTTTATAATAGCCACATTAGACTCCATTAATGAAGAAGTTTAATTCTGCTCTCAATTATACAAAAGATTCTCCATTATTATTTAATTAAAAAGTTGTACATTATTTTTCATTTCATTTAACCAGTTGATATTTCCCCAAAGAACAAGTCAAACTTTCGGGTACTTACCTGGAAATACTCATAAAAATTTTATTCCGAAACCCGCGTAAGTATAGCAAACAGACTGTACAGTTAAGCATTAAATAAAATTCTTTCAGTTCTAAATTAGAAGTTATTAAATTAAACATTTAAAAAAAATAACTTATTTATCTATCTTGTGCGGCCTAGAGCCAACGGGGATTGCTTCGCAAAAAATATACATAAAATAAAAAAAAAAAAAACTTAAATCACAAAAAAAATTATATATAAAATAAGAAAAACTTCACAACTTTGTTAAATTTTATTGAATCTTGTGATATTTATTCGTAATTTGGCAAAAATACCGTATTACTTGAAAGTCTTACTTTAACTCGAAACAAAAAGATTTTATCTGTGACCTGCCGGGATTCAAATTACTTACACCGCACCGGAAATGGATGGTATATTTTTGAAAAGTCCTTTTATAGACATCTAATCGCCCAAATAAATACACGACTGACTACAAAGATTAGTAGCTGTCGACTCACCAGTTATTATCACTCACATTTTAAACAAAAATTCAAATTCAAAATTTAACCATGAATAAACTGTACTCTTATACTTTTAAAAATGTGAAAATAAAGTCAAGTGATCGATCATTTTTACATGATACCTCTCTTTTACAAGTTTTATACCCTATTTTTTTAATGTGTATCTATTATGGATTGCTAGCTATGAAAGACCGCGCCGCTTTTTCAACACCCTGTATAGATTTACAGATACATTTACACAGCAAATTCAACATTATTTACCGCTTGAATTCAGTGGAATCGATCTTCTCCGGCATAGTGGCCGCTTCCTTGATTTCCTTTTCCTTGGTATCCTCGGACAACTTCTTCAGAATCGACTTCAAATTTCTCCTCTCCAACGTCTCGTTGGACTCGTTGGACGAATGCAACGGACTGGCTGCCAGCGGCGTCGTCAAGAAATTCTTATCCGACTTCTTTTGTTCGTGCATACTGGACCCCTCGGAGTGAGACCTAGTCAGAGTGTCACTGTCAATGCTTTGATTATCGGGTATGTCCAAGGAGAAGCTCCTGGTCTTCATGACCAGTTCGAGTTCCTCCAACTTTTGTCGTTCGTTGAGGATTTTGAGCTTTTTTACGAAAGGGAGGGGCCCATATTCGGGCGATAGATCGTCGATGGATCTGGAAAAATAGTTTTTGCAAGTTTCAAAAAACTATTTTCGACGGTGCCAAAGTTTTGCGGGAAAGAGGGTACTAGTGGAAGACAAAACTTGTTGTGCTGTTTTGTGAGTTTGGGATTAAGCGAAATACTTTTAGTGCAATAATAACGTTCATATTAACAAACACAATCTTACAGGTGGTTATATTTTTAGGAAATCTATTATTAAAAGGGAAGAAAGTGTAAGAAATTTTCAGTTTACGGCATGCATAAAGGAACTGGTATTTGTTAGTAATAGTAAAAAGAGCAGAGTAGAGTGGGAGCTAGCTTGGAACTTTAAGTAAGTAATCTACAAACTACATATCGGAAAACATCGAAATAATATGTAGTTTTGATGGGAAAGAACTCAAGTCGGATCAATAAAATCGTATTATCTAACAAGATCAATTTTTCATCGTATTTTGGTAAATATACAGCACGAGGAATAATGATTTATGGTAGGAAAAGTACACGCAGTCTAGGTACATTTCTCATGGAAAAATGCCCCTCCGTAAAATTTTTATAAAATGTTATAAAACTCGATGTTCTGAAAAAGTGTCCATTAAGTCAATAACAATCTCGAAAGAGGGCGCATTGCTTAAGATATATTTCCTCAGAAACTGGCTATAGAATAGATTTGGACTATTTTTGCCAGAGCATCAACTTTTACAACCATTACAAAACATTAAAAATGTGCCTGGTCCTTTAAATCGTTGCTTAAATCATTCCTCGAACTATGTATATTATTCAGAAAGTATTGGTTTCTTGGCAGGCGTATTAATACAAAAAAATAAATTTTAATTCTATTACAGGTTTGCTTCATATAGCTGAATATCATCATTGCAATAATAACTTAATTGGTTTATAAAAAATACACTAGCAACATATGAACATTAAACCTGTGAACTAGCAAGTAAAATATTTAAAATTGACACCGGATCATAAGAGAGTCTTTAGACTAACGCAGCGATAGTACAACGCAACTCATGTGAAAATTAATTTGATTTTTATAAGTAAAAATTATTGTAAACACCCCTCTGTATCTGTAACTTGTGGAAAGTAGCTTACCCCACCGGCACTAAGATCTTGTGAGCCAGCCTACATATAATGTAGTTGCTAAGAAGTGCTTCTCTTATATTGGCCGGTTTTAGCCGATACTTTCTGAACACACATTTTCTAATGCATTAGAGCATCGGGCAATCGTAGAGGATATGATCTATGGTCTCATCTTCTGCAGAGTGCGGATTCTGACAGTATCATACAATAAAAATGCTTCCGTACTTGGCATTGACTATCAGTCAGAATGCCTGTGATCAAGCACATACTCTGACTAGTCATAGTGAAGTAATTGTTTGCTGTAGTATTGTAAGGATAACTTAAAAGCTCCCTGGAAGCTTCTTGTCTTTTTTTGAATATCAAAAGAGAATGTTCTTTAATTCAGTCTGTCATTACCAAAAGTTTCAGACCAGTAGAAGAGCTAGATACAAAAGTATTTGGTTCGTTGACCTCTTGGTTAGTGAATCAGCAAGATGGTTGCCTTTCGATATGGCGTGACCTTTGATTCATCTTAGCTTCGTTACGTTCTAGTACAAACACTGTGTAAATTCGTAAATCTGTCCAGAGTGAGTAGTGCTTGTTTGCTTTTTGTATAGAGGAGAATAGTGATATTTCGTGTTAACTTCTTTTGCTGCTATGAGAATTCCGGTAAGCTCTGTTTGAACTACACTAGCACTATTGGTCACAGCCCATGTTATGCTTAGGTGTAAGAATCTGGAGTACATACCGTGAACCTTGTTTTGTTTTAGAACTGTCGGTGCAGAAGTGAATCGTACCTGTCACTTTCGGCTTTTATATTTGTTTCGTTATTACTTTATATGGCTCATGGAAGATATATCTGGGTGAGATGGGATATAAAAATCAAGTGGAATGAAACTGAGAATGACTTCCATGGCTCTGGTTGGTGTGGTTTTTAAGGCTGTTCTTTGAATTTGTTCTAGTTTGCGCATTTGTTAAGTTTTCGATACCCAGAAAAGTGTACTGTATGTTGGCATATATTTCATGATGACCGTGTAAGTCCATGGAAGAGAAAACCCAGACGCGCCCCACGATTCGGCGGCATTGTAATATATACTTTTTTGACCCTGTTTCCTAATTATGTTAATTTGCTGTCAAAGGTGAGAACTAGGTACTTTACCTCTGTTGCAAAGTTTAGATTTGTGTTTAGGAGCCCTGGAGGTTTTAGTACCACTTTCATCCTTTTTCTTGTGAAAATTACCACTTCTGTCTTCTTCGGATTGATAGACAGTAAATGGTCCTTGCACCACTGTTCTATAATTTTAAGAGCTGGGTACTTGAATTCTTTCGCAGAATATATTCTGAAAATTCCCTATTTGTAGAATGACCAGCATATGCTATTGTGAAGAGATTGTCATAATTAAGGCGGTACATGAGGGTGTCACGGACCATGTTTCACAGTAGAGGTGTGGACATCTCCTCGCAACCAATCCTGTTGCTTAGTAAGTGTATTATCTTAGCGAAAGTGTTTCTGTCAAAAGCACTTTCTATATCTATAAAAACTCTTAAGGCGGACTCCATATTTTTCAGGGATCTCTCTATCCGGCCAGCAACTAGGTAAAGGGCTGAATCAGTAGATTTGGCTGGGGTGTATGCATGTTGAATTGGGTGTAGTGGTGTTGGGTATAGTGGTATTGGACACACCTTGTAGACAAATAGATTTTTTAAATTTTTAGATTTAATCCCTAAATGGCTTTATTTCATTGATATTTTTTAACTACCTGCCTATGAATCTAAAACTTTCTGCATAGAAAATCAATCAACAACAACATTTTTTTCTTATATTCGTCATTCATTAAAAAATTACTAGTGATAAAGACGATTATATTAATAATAATAATGATCATGATGATGATGATGTTTATCACATTATAACTTCTTTGAGTCCCAAAGATACATCAATGTCAATGAATCTCAGTGGTAGATATCGTTTTTTATTTACAATATAAAATTGGATTAAAATGAAAGTTGAGACTCAAAGGATTAATCCTATTTTTAAATTAAAATTTTGAACTATAACGACCTTTTCCAGACGTTCACTTGTATTAAGTCTTTTTTTTTTTCAAACGAATGCTTCACTACTACCATCTAACTAGCAAACTATTTACCAGCAGTGAGCTGAATTAAAACTCAAACCTGTATCGACTACAAGCGGGCACCGTCTGCATCAATTGTAATGGTTTTATGAATCTTAAAAGAAGAGATTTAGTTAGTTATTATATTGAATAATAGAGCAATTAGGTACGTATACTATATTTTCTTTTTCTAGTTTCAGTAGACAGGTTGAAACAAAAAACCCTATTGTTGCAATTCATGCCAATTTAAAGTGTAAGAAATTAGCGATTTTGAAGTAAAATTATTTTAGAACAGTGAAAAAATTCAGCCATCAATCGAGCAGGTTAATTTATATAAATTAAAAGAATTATAAACATTAAATGATGGTATCTATGTACAAGAAGACATTAGCAAAAGTATTTAGGATAAACATGATATAAGAAATTGTTAAGGTCAAATTATCAAAAAAGAATACTACTTAGACCTGTATGCAGAGAAATATGGCCACTAAGTATTAAGATTAGGTACTTCTTTACCTTTACCAGTACAATGCCATTAGGTTAATTTGGTCTAAGAAAAAAGTAATTATGATGTGGATATTTAGAAACACGTTTTACTTCGAACAACGTCTTAACAACTTCTCTAGAAAAAAGTAAAACAGGAATACAAGACTACTGAGCCAATTAAGGACCTTGCTGCAAAAAGAGGAGCTTATTTTTTTTCAATTATAGTTATTGTATGTACGAGGGTAAATCAAATATAAACGGTAATTTTACTATTTCGTTTAGCACGTAATTCCGACCTAGATGATGCGATGCGCCATTGATGGGTTGGTTTATCAGGAGTGGGGAGCCGGCTTTTTTAGCGGCCGCGCTCGGTTCTGTTCTGTCCTCAGTACAGCCATGACTAAGCAGGAGGTACATTCGTCTGTTGCACAACGCATCATCATAAAGTTTTTAACCAACGAAGGCGTTGAACCGTCCGAAATTTTTACTCGTTTAAAGGCACAGTTTGGGGATGATACACTGTCTTAGAACCGAGTGTATACGTGGGCCAGAGAATTTAAGGGTGGGCGAGAACGTGTCGAAAATCAAAGTCACGATCGACGGCCAAGGACAAGTCTCACAGATGACAACATCCGTGCCGTTCGAGAGCTTGTTGAAGGCGATCGCCGGTTAACAGTTGAAGAAATTTCGTCAGAAGTGGGTATCAGCTATGGGAATGCTCAATCCATTATCACTGATCAACTTGGCTTCAGAAAAATTAGTGCTCGATGGGTTCTAAGGTTACTGACCGAAAATCAAAAACAGGTCAGGTCGCAGATCAGTGAAATACTTCTGAATCGATTTCGACAAGAAGGGGAGGATTTTCTGAGACGCATCGTCACATGTGATGAGACATGGGTCCACCATTACACTCCCGAGTCAAAAATAGCGAGTAAGGAGTGGCGAAGAAAGGATGAAGGCTGCCTAGTGAAGGCCAAAACCCGTCTCTCGACCGGAAAAGTTCTTGCGACGGTTTTCTTTAACTCGAGGGAAGTTTTGCCCGTTGATTTTCTTCACGAACAACGAACAGTGAATGCGGCTTACTATTTCCAGTTGTTAGAGTCGACAAAAATCGTCTATAGAAATATGCCCATTAGAGAGGTCATCCTTCTTCACGACAACGCGAGACCTCACACCGCGGTTTTGACAAGGGATAAACTGGAAGTACTGGGCTAGGAAACCCTCGAACGCCCTTCCTATAGTCCAGACTTGTCCCCCTGTGATTATTTTTTGTTTGGACCCTTAAAAGAATTACTCGGAGGAAAAAAATTTGAAAGCAATGAAGAAGTCGAGGAGTACGTGGGTAATTGGTTGACAACTCGCCCTCAAACTTTTTACGAAGAAGGAATATTCAAACTTCCAAAACGGTGGCAAAAGTGTGTAGAGCATGGAGGTAACTACGTTAAGAAATGTTAAATGTTTTGTTTGTGTATTACATTAATCAATAAATATATTTAAAAAAATTACCGTTTATATTTTATTCGCCCTCGTACTATATATAACAAATTAATCTCAATCGATTGGTGTAAGAAACAGGCAGCTCCAACATTAAATAGCAAAACACTAAACTTTTTGAACTTGCCTCTACAACTTTTTGGTACAAGAAGAATGTAAGTCAGGATCACCATCAACTACTTTCTGTAAAAAAGGCAAAATACAAGGACGTGATGCAGTTAGCTACCAACTATGTTTTTCCTAACGAATTGACATATTACCAAGCCCTCAAAAGTGAAATAGTTGGTGATGCTGAATATATTTCCTTATGTAACAAGAACGGAAGATGATGATTTAATGTTTTTTGTTTATTTTCAATTATTAATAAACAATTTGTTTTTACTTTATAATGAGTGCTTTCTTTTATGGGTTACTCGCGAACAGTACTAGAGCTGTTCCTAGCTGTAACTAAATGTTCTTTTTAACGGTGCTTGTTGATCTGGAGCAACTTCCACATGTTCTCATTTTTCTCCCCAAATACTTGCTCGATAGCAGGTGCTCAGAGCTCTTCATCATCAGTCGTTCTTATTTTGACGTCATAGGGTTTTAAGAATATCAAAGACATTCATTATCTGATATTCAATAAAATAAGTAGAGCGTTTTCAGCACATATGCCATTATTTGGAGTTCTAAAAAGATTGTTAACAGTTGAAACACAAAAGTCACAACTTAAATATTATATGGAAGAAAGGGGGAATCCCACACTTTAGCCGATATAATAAAGCATAGAAAACCAACGTATTTTTTTTTAAATAATGTTTTGAGTTACAAAAGGCCTCTACGTGTTCTCATCTGAACGAAGAGATATCGGAAAAAGTAATGAGAACTAGAGTCAAACCCACAATTGTTCAACCATCTTGAGCCACCTACATCAGGTTGGATGTACAAACTCTTCTTCGGCGAGGAAAGGTAGTGGATTAAATCCAACCTAAATGCTTTTCTTTTTCCCCCGGAAAAAACACAAGAAGATATTAAAGATAACGCCTTCATTTTCGATGTCTTTTAATAAACCGTAAATAGTGAACGACAGATGACAAATGAATTAACAAGGAATATCTTAGATATTCTTAAAACTTGTACACTTTAAATACGTCTTTCATTCCTTCTCAATCTCTTATCATCCAGTGTGTACACACCTATTACTTGTTAATATAAAAAAATGAATACCACATCAACTAAAACATTCTAATAAATTGTAACCTCACCTGTAATGTTTCGTCCTTCTCGATAGGAATAAATTAGGCTTCGGTTTTGGCTTTTCTGTCGTAACAGCTGTTGTTGTTATTTCGACATCATCCGTACTCGCGCAATCGTCAGGACTAGCATCCTTTGACGCCGTCAGGGGACTGGAGGATTCCACGTCTTTCGAAATGGCCGCTTTTTTTAGTTTCGACCAGTGGGCTTCGTTTTTGTCGTTACTGTCGATTTTTTCGAGTTCGCTGCAAGTTTTATTGTTCGCCGTATCACTACCGTTAATCGGATTATTATTATTTTCGACCGCACTTGGGATTACGTTTGAATTGATAGTTTGGGTTGCTGTTGTTGTTGACGTCGTAATTGTTATTTTTGTTGCGTCAACGGTTTGTTGGTTATTGTCATTGGACGGTTGCTGGGGCACTAATCTCACTAAGGTAGTGTCTATTATGGACGACAAGTCACTGTCTTTTAGGAGAGTTTCTTTGATGCTGGGATCTTTTTCTTTTGCACCGGTTGCCAGTTTTATTCTATCTCTGTAATTAAAAAAAAAAAAAAAGTATATTAAAAAATCTGTCCAACACATGACTTTCCTGCCTAGTTATTACAGGCTTCTTCCGGTTATTTTGTACAACTTAGAGCCGGTTTTTCAATGTGTAGTTAACTCTGACCTTGAGCTAACTGAATGTTAACCAAGGGCCATTCGCACAGCTAGTAGTTAAAAAATAAGCGAAGCTTAAAATGACATTGCCAATGGAGAAATATTATTTTAAGCTTAGCTTATTTCTACATTTATGCTTTTCAATTGATATTTAATGACTACTTGAGAGCAACTTTCAGGGTACTGTTAACCCATTGTTAAGAGATAATCATCGCTTTATAACCTACATGTTCTTTGATATTATGAATGCTTGAAATATGATGCTTTAATTATAATGCCTACAGTAGCGAAGAGGAAGAAATAGCAAGAAGGCCAAAAATAATTCCACAGAGGTCCAGTTTTATGGAACAATATGTTAGTTAAAATTTTTTCAAAAGATTTAGATTGTCGAAGTGGACTGTTAAGATGATCGTTGATGAAATTTGGGACTTACAGTTAAATGCTGTCTCTGGTTAAATAATAGATTCTTAAATAGATTTATAAAAACGTTCCAAATTCCAATAATTGAAAATTTGGCGTCTTCTTAAATCTTCATAGATAAACTTTCTTTTTTAGTTTGAATATGTCATATGTCATTCATCGAGAATTAAAAACAACAATAGAATACCCACGATGAAAGATATTATTCACCGGGAGAATACCACAGAACCATCACAGAACACATAAAAATACAACGTTGCCAAGTTAAAATTCATTTAAAATCTAGGTTAATTAACAAGAAGTACAATTTGCATTGAAAAACGCTTCTTATTTTAACTAGAGGTTAACCTTCAAGTAGAAGTTAGTTAACCTCCAAGTCAACATTACATTGAAAAACCGGCCCTTAAAGTATCACCCACGTAAATTATATAGAGGATGAAGAAAATACATATATTTTTCACACATCTTCTTAAATTTTTCCATTACATTACAGTTGATTTTGGAGAAATCATGTATACATGGTGTTTCCGAACTTGGCGTCCAAATTTTTAGGGGTGGTAGTTCGCATAATTTGAGACCGTTTCGCAGATTTGTAATATGATCTTGTTATTTTATCTATTTTTGTAGTATTTTAAGCTCTATGATTTTGGGGAGTGGGTCAGGTTATTAAACAACTCGTATTACTTTGAAAAAGAATGTTGAGAGCCACTATATTTAAAACTTTCTAAACTTGACAATCGATTAGTGATGAAAATATAGAAAATCACTAACCATTAAGATATTATAATTAAATAAGGTTTCAGATAAGGCAGCGACAAATTCTAATTCACAGAGACTTACTTATTCAAATTTAAATGATTTATTAAGACTTATCTGTGGTATAACAGGTAACAGGTAAAGGGAATTCGTATGATACGCTTGGATATCACCAACTGTTAAATCTTCATAGGTAAAGTTAAATCTCGTAAACTTCTTTGGATGGCTCGAACTAAACCTCTTGATATACTTGAAACAAAATTCGAACTTTGCACTTTTTCTCAAATATTTCGAATACGGACCATTTTAGAGAAATTATGTATAAAACAAGAATTATAGATAATGACATCACAAACAACTTTTGTTTGAACAAATTTCTCGAATACGGACTATTTTAGGCAAAAATTATAGAGAACAGGCAATTTTTTCTCTAAGCGTAAATAACAGATATATTCCATAAAATATAAAAACGACCCCATATACAGTCCCCCCATAGATGTCCGGACTATGCCCAAAATGAAATCAACTCACCGCAGGATGGGTTAATGCTTATGTTTAGAATTTGGTATTTTTCTCTGTATCCGTTCATGAGTTATCGAGTAGAGTTGGTGACATATGACAAACTTTTTTATTATTCATTTTAGGAAAAAAGTTGTGTATGGTCTAAAATCTAAAATACACACTTTTTTGGCAATTTCGGGAAAAAATATACATTTGGTAACTATGCCAACAAAAACTTACAAATGTAAGAAGTACAGCGAAAACTACACGTCAATATATTTTCCACTCTTGAATTATAACACTTTTAAAATGTGTTACTTAATATATACAATTATAGAAATAAATTTTATATCTTGCGAGTTATGATAAATTAACTTCTATATTAACACCAATAATACCATTATTAATAAAATCCAAATGGCTGATTTGTAAGAAGAAACAAGACCAAATAATAGTGATATAATGTTAAAAACAAAAAAGGGCTATTGGCTAAAAAGCGATACTGCTAAACCGATATTATAAAATGCACTAAAAATCTTAAAAAATAATAAAATTATGGAATATAGCGCAACAATATCCTACAACCAAGCTTCAAGAGATAACAAAATTCCAGCGACTCAAGTCTACTCTTGTGTTATTTTCTCTGTCGAAAACGAAATATCGGACGAAGAAATCTCACAATAACAGTTCATAACATAATAATAAATTCTTATGTACAAAAGCTGAACAAACCCAAAAACAGCAATAGAGAGGAGTTAATAGAAAGACTACGAAAAACATTCATGGCGGAATACAGAATAGATACCACTGTAACGTTTTTGGGAAACAACTGTATTTACATCTTGATGTTTGACATGGAACTAGACAACTTCGAATCTCCCACTGATATTTTACTTATAAACTTCCTAGATACATCGTAAAACTCATCAAAACAAAACGTAAAATATTCAGAGAATACAGGCAAAACCCTAGTCGGGAAGTCAAAACAAACATCAACAACTTAAACAAAGACATTTAAAAATTAGTAAAACAATTTCAGCAATACACATGGCTACAGACCTGCCAAGAAATCAATCGAGAACAGGGAAGAAACTTCTATCATAAAATAAATAAACTGTCAAAATATAAAACAAGGAATAATATTCCAAATATTACTGAGAATGGTATAGACTATACCACAGATGAAAAAAAGGCCGATGCATTCAAAAGGAACTTCATTAAAACATATAACTTAACAAAAGACCCATCTTTTAAACAAGAAAACTGGAGTAATATAAACTCATGGTGCAAACAATATTTTAAAAACAACCCAATCAATGAGGAAGTAGGAAAAATACTTTCAAATACTATCTAATCAGAAAAACTCCGCTCCAGGATCGGACATGATCCCATGGCAAATTGTGAAAAAACTAGAATATAATATACATATTATAAAAATGTTTGTATTCTGTTATAAAAACACGTACTTTCCAGATCAATGGAAAAATGGCACCATCATAGTTATCCCAAAACCAGGCACAGACCACAAAAGAATTGATAATTACAGACCAATCACCCTTCTTCCAGTTTTGGGAAAACTATTCGAAAAACTTATTATTAGTAAACGAACGAATACCGCAATTCCAATTTGGGTTTAGAGAACAAATCTCCGCTTTGGTACCAACTACTCTGCTGGTTTCCAATGTGCAAACAACTAAATTAAACAATAAAAAATCTGCCATTTTCCTGTTGGACATTAAAAAAGCCTTTGACTGTGTCTGGTACAACGGCCTCCTATTTAAACTAAAACTTCTTAATGTGCCTGATGGTCTTAGAATTCTTATCAAAAACTTCCTTCAGAACAGAACTCTAAGCGTCAAAATAAATAACCACACATCTCCAAGTTTCATAGCAAATCAAGGTGTACCGCAAGGGTCGCCACTATCTCAGCTCCTTTACAACATACATTGCTTTGATTTTCCTTCAGGTCAGTTACACCTCAATGCAATAAATTACATACTCCAATACGAACATGACACGGCCTTGATATCGCATGGAAATACGCTGAATCAAACCATCACAGCACTACAAAATCAATATAACGAAGTTGTTCAATGGCTCAATAAATGGAGATTACAAGTTAACACACAAAAATGTCAATTAATGATACCCTATCAGGAAGGGGTATCGCGCATGGTGTCATGGCGGCCGTGACGTCATGCGTAGAGTTAGCAGAGTTGGCACGAAGCAAATATCATATGGAGGACGCACGTTTTAGTGGTTTGTAAGTCGTTTTTTGTGCTATAGGCATAACATTTTAAGTGAATATTTGTATTATATTATGTTGTAAACTTTGTTCTTTGTGAGTGGTATTGGTGAAAAATATTAAAAAGGTTACGCTATTTACGGATGTAACAGTAATAATCAAAGCAAAGGACTTAAAAGAGACCTTGTTTTTCGCTTTCCTCAAGGTTAGTCAGAAGTGAGCAGTGACCCAAGCGCGACTCCAGTGCTATTAAAATCAATGAGCCTTTCATTAAAAAATATATATATATATATTAAAATGGAATTGTTATAGGCAATGACCTCCCCTCGATAATTTTACCTGCAGTAGTCCATTCAGTGGACTGTGGCCATGCAGATAAATTTAAAACAGAAAAAGGGACCTCAAAGCAGAACTTCACGTTGGTTCATTCGCAACTCCTTCTTAACTGGGGACTGTACCCTTTTAAAGGCTGAAAATGTCGTAATATACAGCAAAGGTGTATATGTTGTAAAAAAAAAGAAAATTTCTATATGTTGTTCCAAAAAACTGTTAGTGATTTCGTCCAGGAAAAATTTTATTTTAATTTTGTATATACACCCACCATGTAGCAGTTATTTGTATTTGGTACATTATTTTTATGTTATGCATTATATTGTATGAAACATATTTATTAAAAACAAATTTTTGTTATCTTAGTTATGCATAAATCCCATCTTTTACATAAAATAAGTAGTTAAGTATATTCAATAATGCAGATAAATGATTCACACCAGTTACGAATCCCAATTATGTAAAGATTTCCGGCGTCTCCAGTTGAGGTCCCTAGTTGAGTAGTTCCGAGTTATAGAAACTATTCTTTAGAATTCGAATGATCTAAAAAATTTAGAACCTGCATTTGAATTTGTATAACAAAAATAACCCAGACAGCACACCAAATCCTTTGGATATCTACT